TTCATCAGCATCACTTTCAGTGGCAGGCTTTGCATGCTTCCTGGGCCACTGACTCTTTGGGCAAGCAGTGGGGGGAGGAAGGCAGCTTCTTGTTCTGCCACAGGGCTCTTCAGAGGTGTCAGTGGGCTCACTGATTGGCCTACTTAGCTGAATGGGCTCTGATGGGACCTCTTGACCCTTTCCCTTGTCCATTGGCTGCCCCACCTGATACCATGGGTGATTGACAACATTGGTGTCCCCTGCATCCCTAATTTGGTCAAAGTCTGGCCATTGTTTCAATTCTGTGAGCATGGCCAGATCTTTCATCCACTTTGCTGCAGCAATGAGATGGGTGGGAATGGTAGATTTGGAGGGGAGTTCTTCCACCAATGGGTGAACATGGCCCTACATTGGTGTGAGTTGGATGGATAAATTATTTGGCATAGCACATACCAGTTGTTCCCAGATCACATTCATTGCCTTTTGCCAGTACTGCCTGTTTCTATTGGATTCTAGCCCAGAAAGCTCCTCCAAAACAATGTCAGCAGCATATGTGACAATTTTGCATGGTAGGGTGATGGGGGGAATGGTGGTGGTGGCCTGTGAAGATTGAGCTTGTTCAGACATTGTGTCAGTGAGGAGTATGAAAAGCTAGATGGGCAAAGTAGGTGTTAAAGGAGAATGGTGTTAACAGTGCATGCTGCTTTTTTTTATGTTGCTAAACCATTGTGCCAGCATTGCAAGTATTGCTGGCACCCAAACAAGACCAAATAATCCATGCAGGCTTTGCTACATTGCATTCACTCAAATATCCCACACAGTTCATCCACTCATCAGAATTAGCAGTGACCCCAATCATGGATCAAAAATCAGTCAGGTGGAGACCAGGAAGTCTGGACACCTGCAGTAAGTGGTCATTAATTGGTTGGATGTAAGGCTAACTGTTCCTAATTATTTTGCCATGCAAGAAGCATCAGGGGCTGCCAAATGTAGATGATGTTCATATGGCAGTAGATGAACCTGAATACCTGCCATTTGGAGCAGCAGCTGCCACCGGCACATGGCCTGAACAGCTAGCCTTGTCATCATCCTCATCACAGGCTTTTGCCAGCCCATGCCAATGCCTGCCACTAAGAGTGGTTGCACCTTTGTGGGACTCCCCACCATTATCACCTTCTTCCCAACAGCCCAGTACCAATCATAGAGGGGATGATCCTGTAGCAGCTCATTCCATCCCCTCCTTAACTGCCATCACCCCCAGCTGGGATTCCCCAACATCTTTGCCAGCACACACAGCTCACTCACCAATGCCAGTATCATTTGTGGCATCCCCTCCACACACAACTACTCAACCCCCCACTAAGGATCATCCTAACATGGATGAGGAACCTGATGCAGAACTGACTGCCAACAGTAACCCCATGGCCTCTGGATTGGGGCACAGAGCTTGGCTGTCAGTGGAGACAGATGCTGCTGCTCATGAGTGTTCCACCTTTCATTGTGACCACATTTTCAATTTTGTTAGGTCACTTTGCAGCACTTCAGCAGTTCACAGATGATTTGGGGATACAAGGTATTCATGAGGAAGGACTGATAACAACATGTGTTTTTGCAATATCATTCTCACATATGTTAATAATTGAATAGTGACCAAGGCAAGGTGGCTAGCAATTCTGCTCTCAGGACCAGCCTCAGAACACCCAGCACTGCTGAATACTGCTACTGATGGGCCTATTGTTGCCACATACAATCACTACAGCAATATCTTGGTCAAATCAAGCATAAGGTTTTGGCTTTTGCTTGCAAGGGGAGAGCAGGTCATGCAGACACAGCAATATATAGAAGATTTGATGACAAAGGATTGGGATGGTGAGGATGAAGTGGAGATTGATGAGGACTTATTGTAATTCCTACTGTGAATTGTTGCATAAATTGTAAAGTATGCTACTATTGTCAACAGCATTTCTTCAAGGGACTAGGCAATAGCTGGGGATGCTGTAAGAGCTAATTGCCTGTTGACCTCATCAGCAACTCCCATCTTGCCTTCAGCTGTGTAGGGACCCTCCAACTATTCTTTGGCACCTGCTCATTTTGTGCTGCATGGAGGGTGTCAGCTGAATCATGGTCCAGCACTTCCACCACAGGAGCTGTGGCAACTGTTTCACTGCCTGCCATTTGGGGCTTGGCACTTGGGCTCTCCACTGCAATGTCTGAAACATGTCCCCTGTCAATTCAACACAGTTGCAGATATTGAAAACCCACCTTGTTGTGACCCCCCAGCACCCATAGAATTTCCACCATTGACTGGCACACCATATGGAATTTGCTGTGTGGTGGTGAAATCATAGCTGGGGCCTTCAGCAGACATGGGGTTAAGTTGTATAACATGACTATCAAGTGAGGGCTGGCAGCTTACCACTCTCCCAGCAGCTGTTATTTCCATCTGCTGCCAATATGGCAATTGGGTGTTGTCTTGCTGGCAATTCAACTGACATATCAGCATCTAGTGCCAAAGCCCTTGTACTCTTATTGCTATTGGGCACCAGGGATGGTTGGGAGCTACTGGCCAGAGGGGCACCTTTGGTATTTGAGCTGACCACTGTAACACCCATTACATTATTGTGTTGATAATGTAGTTAGTACAACTGCTTGCTTACCAGTTTGTTGCCATGATCACATCCCAAACCCAGTCAATTGGCCAGCTGTTTTCTGTCCCCCTGCTGGGTCTGGGATGTCTTTGGCACCCTGTTCCACATCCAATGGCACCCAACCAACATTGGCATCTCCAACTGGCATGAATGCAAATATATTGTTGGGATGCTGCATCTTCTGCTCCTGCCACCACTCCAAGATTGCTGTCAACTCATCCTGTGTTAGTCAAGTTGGTTCTTTGAATGGAATGTCTGGGGGAGGGAACTTGGGTGCAATGTAAATGTTCATGTTGGTTGTTATTGCACTCCATGGCACAGTTGCCTCTGAATTGCTGCATGCCTTCCCTGCTATGGATGTCAATGAACAGAAGTCCTCCTGTGGTTACACCTATGGTAGTGCAATGTGACAAATGTCTGCATGATATCTTTCAACCTTGGCACCCACATGTCCAATATGTTGGGAATGTATGGTGTACCATCCTTGCTGAGTGGCAGGTTAACTTTGTCCTTTGCCAGTTTCTTTCACTGCTGCAGCTGTGGAGCAGCATCATTGTCTGCTGAGTCATCATCTGTGCCACCACTCCCAAATGCTGTCCATGCATACTTGACAAATTTGTCCCTGCAGTCCTCCAAGCCCTGAAATAACTTGCCATGACCCAATTCATCATTGAAATCATGGCTAGACAGGTTGGTCAGTATCTGGCAGTATTCAGATGACCCAGGAACAAATTCCTTATGCTCCAACTATGACCTCTATTGACATCTTCCCATGCCACCATCACTACCACCCTTGCCTCACACTGCTTCCACATTTCCTTAGCAAACTCCTCAGCATATTGTTGGCCTTTCTTTTCTGCAGTTCTGAGTCCCAGTAAGTAAAAAGGCAGCAGTCAGAAATGGCAATGGCACCTACTCTGATTGAACATCCCATGGTGGCTGCTGCTCAGTCCATTCTGTGGCCAGATCCTCAGCCTCCTGTATCTCCTCAGCAGTCAGGGACTTCATGATGGTGTCAATGGCCTTCTGATATGACTTGATCATTTCTGCTGATCCCTGCTTGATCCCTGCTTCCTCCAACACTCTTTTGATGGCTTTCTTGTGATGGTGCATGACCACCTTCCTCAGTGTTCAACTGCCACCATATTTGACCAAAGCCCATTGACTACAGCTCCAACTGTGGTTGTACAACCAAGTCTGAATCACCTGGCAATGGTGAGGACATGTTGGGTAATCAAAGGATGCTGTGGCACACCTTCTTCCAAACCCATTCATGGGTTTTCAGTGTTACATTAGCATCAAGGTTTTTTGTCCTGTTTCTGATGGTTAACAACATGGAACTCCTCTTGTCTTGGTTGGCATTTTTCCATGAATCTAACTCAGCCTCGAGTATATTGACTTTGGCTGGCTGAAGACTGGTCCCCTTTTGTTGTGGGGTGGGATCTGTGTCATTGGACAAAGAGTTGATCTCATATTCACTGGAAGTCACTGAGGTTGGAGGTGTGGTGAACAAATTTCCTTTGGACAGCTAGGTACAAAGTCCTTTGAAGAGAATAGCCTTTGCTGGCATTCTCCCATCTCAATGAAGGTTGCATTCCAGTGCCTAGTCCATTCTTGCATGTGGTGTGATCAGGCAGTTGCCCAACATGGCTAAGGTTGTGAGTCAATCAGGAGGTTTCCATCTCTGAGCCATGTGCAGAGGCAGTGCCATGCCCACTTCCCAGATCCAAGAGGTTTGGTAATCAATCAATGTGCATTGCAGTACTGTGGAAACTATAGGCACTAGGCTAATGGTGTAGGCAAAGGCAGTCACCAAGTTCACATTGATTTGATTGATATGAAGGCCAGGTGCAGGATGCCAGTGACAAATTCATGTGCTGGATCCTAAGACACCATCACCATGGTCTGTGTTCAGACTGTGCTGGCACATGTTGGCTGCATGTATTTTTTGAGATCAAAACCTTGTTGCTTTGTAACATTCATCATGGGGAAGTCAAAGATTGCACCAGTGTGACCCACTATGAGAGTGACCCAGGTGACCTAGCAAAGAGTGAACACCACCAGGGGATACAGGGATAAGATGGTAAAAGTAGCACCCCAAAAGTGGGTGCCAGGCCATGCAACTCAGCCTCCTACTTGGTCTGGCTCTGTGATCATGGAACACTCAGACTGTCTGTTGGATGATGAGGGTGTACAACTGCCCTGCAACAATGATGTGCTCCTGGCAACACCTTCTAAAACTTGGAAAAGTCAGGTGTGTGGAATATGGCATTTGCACACTAAAGCTGCAATGATGGTCTTCCACAATTGTAGCATGGTTATCTGCAGCAGTGGTTGCCACACCAACAGCAATATCTAGCCATCCTGTTGGACATGGAGGCCCCACTGGAGCCAAGGGATTGTATCCTGTGTGGAGCAGATGGCATCTTCTGGTGCAGTGACTGTGCCCACTGGCCAGTTTTCTGCACATTGTGTTGCTGGGCAGAACACAAGCACCAGCCTTTCCACAGGTTGGAACAATGGAATGGAACATTCTTTGAGGAATCATCCCTGCAGCTGGTAAGCATCTTGATCATGAGGGTCATTCCTATATTCACCATTCAGGCCAGCTTTGTGCTCCATGTTGGACATGGTGGCAAGCAATGCCTGGCTGGTGGGAGGTCAGATGAAGAAGTCACAACTGAGGAGGAAGATGATTGGGAGGATGTGCATCAAGATGGATGTCCTCCAAACCTGAAGGCACCAAGGGACTGAAGCTGTCTAATTGTTGTCCACAGAAATGGTATCCACTACTGCAATGTGAGGTATTGTAGATGCCTTGGGGCAGAGGATTTACCCATACAGCTGATGCAGGCCAGGATGTTTCCTGCTACCACAAAGGCCCCAAGAACTACCTTTACCTTCCAAGTACTTGATGACTTCATTCAGGACAATTTGGAATGTGGCACTTCAGCTATGAACTTCTTCAGCAAACTGGCAGATCACCTCAAATGCCTCTCCTCATCTGGTTCTGGTGGGTTCTGATTCTTGAGTTGACTCACCTCAAAGCAAGTCTTAGCTGGGTGATAGGATAGGTACAGGGAACTGCTGAGAGTTGCTAGGATGTGGCTCTAGTGGGGGCCTGGGGTGGAAACATGGCATGGCAGATCTACTGCCCTTTCCCACAGGTGTCCATCCATTGCTGCCTCCAGTGACCTCCATCCAGAATGAGTGAACATGGTGACAGTCTTCCATACTGTATTCCTAAACCCACAATACACCAACATTCTCATTTGTGATCTAGCCAGTGTCACACACCAAAGGTATTGTGGACATGGTTACAGCTGACTCTGCCTAACTTGTCAACAAGTTGTGTGCCATGCCATGCAGATGAAGACTAAGGCCCTCATGCATAGAAAGACTGCTGGACATGAGCAGTCATCCTTCACACAAGAATGAGTCATCAGTGCTAAAGAGAAAAGTGGAAGCGAGTCAAGTGCCCATCAAAGCTTTTTAGTGCTTGAGTATGGCATTCTGGTTTTTGTCATATCTCCACCATTTCCAAAGATATCAACTCCATTCTCACACTTGCTTAAAGTGCTCAGCCATGTGATTCTGCCTTCCAAGTTTGGAAAGGATCCTCACACCCTACACATTTCTACAGCACTCCATCCATCAGACACTCATTTTGCTAAGTTCATCAGATATGGCTGCCTCTTCATCAATCATCTTGCTTGTCTCTTTTGCCAGAGACAGTGGCTATGTATATCTGCCAGGTGTTCCCACCAGCTTCCATCCTGAAGCCCCCTGGTTCATTCCATCATCATCAGCCCCATCCCATCCCATGCAGCTTGGTCAGCATGTTCTCCTTGTCAGTATGACCTCCAGAAGGACATTCTTTGGCCACCTCAGGTCTGTTGCTTAGTTAAAAAGGTCTCATGTGGTTGTTTTGGTCTCCCCACTTGATGAAGCATATGGATCCTTCCTCCCTGCTCCCTGCAATGTCTTTGTTCCAATCTTGTCCATCACTCTCCCCACATTGTGACAGCTGCAGTATAATCTACTGTTCTCCAGCCTCCCTGCTCACATCCATGATGAGTATGACATGCATCTTGCCTTTTTACTGCAAGACCCAGCAGAAGACATCCCCCCTTCCCCTTCTCCCTTTCCTCCATCAGAGCCCCATCCATGAAGCTTTTATTAACTTTGCTGAGAGGACAAATGGGTGGGAGACCCAATTGCCTATGCTCCCATTGCCCCACTCACCCCCAATGCCCTAGCCCTTTGACACCTGACTCATGCCATCCTTTCCTGGAATTAATACTTCCCTATCTGGAAGCACTGTCCATCTGTCATCCCATCTTTGGATCTAGTGATGTCTCTGCTGAGATCTGACATGCATTGCCACCCCCTATGTGATACCAGTGCACTTACTCAGGTTTTGACTCATACTGTGATATTTTGACCATCCTTGACTCATTTGTTGACAATACTTACCAATCCTCTTTGCTTGTCTACTCCTGTGTAACTTGATGTTGACTTGTGCCAGGAGCATGTCTCATTGAAGATCCTTACTCTAGCTGGCATCCCCCTCACAATCATTACTCTTTCATCTTCTCCTGCATAACTCATCAATGACTTGCACTAGGAGCACCTGCCATTGAAACTCCCCCCCCACATTAGATTTTTCTGCCCTCCAGGTTCCATGGAGGTAACCCACCACTCACTCTTATTTGTCTTTGGTGTTGGATTTGTTTGGTTTACCCCAGCTTTCCACACTTTGACTCACATCTAGAGCCCACTGTGAGGGATGGTTATTCCTGGATCAAGAAGAATCCTGCTCACTCATCCCATTGAATCTTGTGTCTAAAGTCCATCTGATATCTTGCTACTATGTCATCCACCCTTCCCACCATCTATCCTCCTGCATCATCAGCAGCTCCAGTAGCTATGGCTGCTCCCCCTGCTCACTCTGTCCTCACTATGCCCTTGCTTGGCATGAAGTCTGCTCCTGAACTCTTCCAAGGAGACCATATTCATGTTCACTCCTTCTTGAACCACTATGAACACCTCTGTGCCTACCACAATGTCACTTCTGACCAGGAAATGGTCAAGTCAATCCTCCAGTACTGCAATGCTCATGTCAGGGAGATTATTGAAGGAATGGCTCATTACTACACTCCTAACTGGACTAACTTGAAGGCTGATCTCCTCAAGTACTTTGATGCTGATCTATCAGATGAAAGGTTCTTTGAAAGGCATCTCAAGAGCTTTGCTTTGGAGTCTAGGTTACAGCCTATCATGACACTTCAAGACCTTAGGGCTTACAACCATGGCTTCATTTGCATTGGAGGTTGGCTGAAGAACACAGGAAGGATATTGGTCAATCAATATAATTGCTACTTTTGGGCTGGTTTGTCTCCAGTCTTTTGTGGCTTGGTTGAAAGCTGTCTCAGGTCAAAAGATCCAAACCTTGATATCATCAAGCCCTTCCCCTATGATGATGTATGCCAGTCTGCTGAAGAGGTCCTTCACCATGATTGCTTTGATGCAGATGATCTTGACTTCCTTGGCCCTTGTACTGCCCATGCTCCTCAGGCCCAGCCTGGCACTTCTCATCACTCAGATGGAAGAGATGACAGTGTTTGCCCTCTGCTCCCTTCCCATGAAGCTAGAAGAAATCTTGAAACTTTGGAGAAAGAAGGTCCTACTGCTTGCAAGCAAGATGAAATTGAGACCCTGATCAAGTCCCTCTCTCACATGTTGCTCAATGACCCAGACTACTCCCTCCTCTACTATCAAGCCATTATGATGGATCCTGATGCTGCAAAGGTGCTTTGTGCTCCTTCCCTTTGTCCTGCTCCTGCATCTACTTCCCCTCCTGCCAATTCATCATCCCAGACTTGTCCTGCTAGTAGGACCATCACTTGTTATGGCTGTGGTGTTGAAGGTCATGGCGTTGAGAGCTGTCAAGAAATCAATATCTCATCCAGAAGGGTTCCTTGGCACATGATGAAAACCATTGGGTCATCTACCCTAATGGGCAGTGCATTTACTGCAATGGAGAAGAGACTATCCTTCAAGCCTATGAGTGCACTCTAGCTGCTGCTCAGCCTGCCAATGCAGTTTGCTTTGTTATCCATGAAAAAGCCAAAGAAAGATTCTGGTGCCAAGATCTATGAGTTGGAAGAAGAACCCCTTGTAGCTACTGTGGATCATTCCAACAAGATTACCAAAGAGAAGAGAAAGGCCATCTTTGACTGTGTCCTTATCCCACCTCATTCACATGGCAAGGAGAAAGAGAATCAAGAGCCAAAGCCTTCATTCTCATCTGTCCCTGTTCCCCAGAAAGCACCACTTGCTCCCACCTTTGTGCCAGTTGATGTTCATCCCCCTGCCTTTGATGGAACTAGAGATGATGCTATCATGGAAGATGCCTCTGTCCCAAAGCCATCTGGACAGGCCACTGATTCTGCAGACAAGACTAAGAAGTCCAAGCCCCCTCCTACCATTTCCCTGTCTTCATCACTTTCCCAGTCTGCCAATTCCAAAGCCATTGTAGAGTGCATTCTTTCTACCCCCTTGACTGTATCTGTTGGGGAGGTCATTGGTTCATCTAGAGATGTTTCCCAGCACCTTCAGGAGCTTATGCGATTCAAGAGACAGCCACTGGCTCAGCCTGTCAAGTCTGTTACAGCTATTGAAGGAACTCCACCTGTAGCTTCCTACTTGGCATTGACATCTAGCCCCTGATCACCATCAATCTGACTTGCAATGGTTGACATGTAACAGGTGTCATCAACTCTGGATCCACCCTCAATGTTGTTTGTGCTGGCATAGCCCAGTCAGTCATTCATATGCCCATTGATATGTCACAGACCATCAATATGCGAGATGCAAAAGGAGGTATCTCAACACTGAAAGGCCTGGTACAAGATGTCCCTCTTTTCTGTGGTGCTGCCAAGACTTGGACCAATCTATTCATTGCCCCAGACACTAATGCAGGCTTTGATCTTCTCCTTGGTCATCCTTGGGCTCTTGGAAACTCAGTTAGCATTGTTGAAAGAGAGTCTGGAACTTATGTTGTCTTTGGAGCTGATTCAGATTGCCCCCTGGAGGTGTGTGTTACTGAAGGTCAGCTTGGGTCTGTTGCAGATACACTTATGGCAACTGTAGAGCCTGCCCATCCTCAGCAAGATGCCAATGAACTCATGAGAGATGTAGCAGTTGGTACCCCTCATCATGTTTCACCCATAGTCTTCACTCCACCCCCATCAACTTCACAGTCACCCCCTCAGTCACTTGATTCTGCTCTGCTATATCCTGAGTCACCCCCAGATGGGTTTGATGTTGCCTTAGCATTTCCACTGGGAACAGGTTCATTTATGCTGGAGAATCCCCCAGGATGTCCAGGGAACAGGTCCATTTAGGCTGGAGAATCTCCCAGGATGCCCAGAGAACAGGTCCATTTAGGTTGGGGAATCCACCAGGATGCCCAGGGACAGGTCCATTTAGGCTGGGGAATATCCCAGGATGCTCAGAGAACAGGTCCATTTAGGCTGGGGAATCCCCCTGGATGCACCAGGAACAGGTCCATGTAGGCTGGAGAATCCCCCAGGATGCCCAGGAAATAGGTCTATTAACCCACTGGGAAAGCCCCATTTGGGCCCCAGGCACTCTGTTATAGATGTGATAATCCATGTCAGACACCTTGCTCTGGAGAATCTCCAGGGCCTGGTGAATCTCCAGCAGTCACTGGGAATACCCAGGTGGTCAACACCTATTAGGTGGATACATCTATAAGAATATATGAACCTAATAGGTCCCCTGGGGGGGGGGTGACTGAAGTGATTGTTCAGCAAATCCTTACTGGCAAGGCCAAAAATGCTGTTCAAGCCACTCATTTCATCACTCTATTGTTGATAGTCCTGTTTCTTCTCAGACAGTGAAAAATACCCTCATTGAACCCTCATTGAAGGCTGTGGTGAAGAAGAATAAGCCATTGCTTTCTACTGGTCACAAGAAGAAGAGGTTAGCCTTTGCTC